GGACTATCATAAATCCATTAGTCCAGCATAAAACAGCAAAATAGATAACGGAAAGATATACTTGCTGATATAGACCCTATTCTACAAGAGCTAGATAACCACCCATTCCATGACACTGCTCAGCAGTTAACCATACCTGTTCCTGAAGCTTATGAGTTGTTTTGTCCATACGTCCTCATCAGCCTTTATACCAAGAGTCAAAAAGAACGTCCGGGGGAAAAATAAATTCTATAGCAAAAAACCCGGAACTCAATTCGTACAACCCTTCGAGCCTATAATTGGTAGGGCTTCCGATACCTGCGGAACGGCCCACCATTCATGCCATCGAGACTGTGATCCAACCTCGGGTACCTGAACAGAGATATTTAGAGGTTTAGATGACTGCTTGTCCAGTATAGCCTTTTTGACAGTGTCAATTGCTATGCTTGTTGCAATACATGCTCGAAGCATATTCTTTGCGTTTTTTATCCAATCACTCTCGAGACCGGATGTTGTCTTTGACGACTTATCCTTGGGTGTAAGGTAAGGGCCATCTGCCAGATACCTTTCTAGACCCTTCTTTGCCTCGGCTGCGGCTCGAACGGCTCTGTTTAGAACCGCCTTATCACTCTGGCCATCAAGCGTGGCTTCACGTTCGTAGATTTCAAAGGGTACCACCTCAGGCAAAAATATTGGCAGAAATGGTTTCATTCGAAGTTCATAACGAAGCTTTGCAGCGGAATATCCAGGTGATGAAGAGCAGTCTTGATCTATCAGACCATGACGTGAGAGAATGGTATAAAGAGCATTCAATGCTATGGAAAATGCATCCGTAACACCGAGTTCCGTAGATAATCTGTCAAGGAGGTTGAGAGTACGCTCACGAAACTTTATCCGAGTTTCAATGTCCTGCCGTGATTGTTCACCAGTCTTGGACAATGCTTTCTGGCTCTCTGTGATGACACAAGCCCGTATACGATCAAGATGTACGAGGTGAGTTGAACATAAGTGTGATAAGTACCAATACATGCCTTGAAACTCCCCCAATGAGTACATTGAGAGCTCAAATCCTAGTTGAGCCACTAGGCGCATTTGTTGGAGCTTATAGTGGTAGGTCCAGCTGCTTAAGGGGTAGGTATAGGTTGGTTCCTCTCCGTGTAAATATATGGGAGTTTCCAGGGTCCACGTGCGAAGCTGAGTATCGCATTCCTCGGCCTTATAGTTGAAAGATGCATTAGTGCGTTCTCCACAGATTATCAAAATCAATATTTCTCACCTCAGCTTGTAGTCTATCCCAGTCAACAATGTTATGACAAAGTGTACGTCGTACTCGGCAGCGGTTCAAGCAAATTGTTCGGTAGGAGTCAATGAAGGGCTTTTAGAGGTTAATAGGGGTACTATAAAAAGATGTAATATCAAATGATTTAATGTCAACATTACCTGAGTCATTCCTTGTAAAAATGTCTCCATTTGTTTCGCTATATGAAACTTGGGGTTTGAAGGAGCTTCCACCTCCTTATTTTTGGGGTCAAATAGTGGGCTAAATGGAAGCACAAGGTCCTTCATGCTGTTGCTGCAGAATTCCTCGGCAGGTAACTTATCAAGAACCCGTCCATTCAGGAGTATAATGGATTGCGCTAAAGATCGGATATAAACACCTGGCTGTGGCTTGCGGGATTGCAAAGCCCATAGTAAATTCTGTTCAAATGTCAGTATTAATGATGGGTATTAATACTGCAACGATGCAATGAAACCTACATAGAGGGTGAATGCACTATCAGAATCTAGTATTTCCTGTAAATCGATAGCGTCCTGACAGAATCTTTTCAAGTATGATATAGCATCTGGTGGTTCAATCTTGATTATTGGACGAGGAGGGACAGTGCTTGCGAGACGTCGTTGAATCTTGCCACTAAAGGCATCTTCAACAGGTTTTCCTAGATGTAATGACTTTTGTATGAGGTCTATACGGCCTAGTGTGGAAGTTAAGCTCTTTGTAGACCGTGACTGTGCCAGAACAAGGTCTAGAGACAGATACTCTAGGATATGATGCCGGAAGGAGAGCCTATCAAGAAGGGCAGCCCTGAGAGTTTCGTCGATTGGTCCCGCATCATGATTGAGCCACCTAATAGCATCGTTGAGGACTACTATAATCTCCTCAATTTTGACATTGGGGAGCAGCTTTCTGTTGTATAGTTGAGTGCTAAAATCTTCCTCCTATTTTGGTCAGTATTGCGGTTACATTGTAGATGGATGAAGAATTCAAACCTCATAATAAAACTCCGATGCAACTCTTTCTCGAATACATGCGCAAGCTTTGATTAAAGCAAGGCAGTAAGCTCTCAACACAATGGTCACAATGCCACCTGCTACATTTTCTTCCGTTTTCTTTAGATTAGCTTTGTTGCCGTCGAACCTTGCATCTTCCAGTGATTTAGGGACCGGCCAAAGTAAGTGGTCAAGATATATCGATGTAAATAGTGTTTGAGAAAGTGGATGTCCCATATGCCACGCTACCTGTATGGTATAGAGAAGTCAGATATTAGGGTCGTGTTTCAAAATTGATAGTAAAAGGGCAAAAAGGCTCGTAGTGGATAAGGCGTACCTCATAGCATAATAGCTGGTCCATTATCCCAATAACTTCTTCCGGAAGTAGTTCCTTCATCACATCATAATTATGGTCCAGTGTCTCTCCAGGAGAAAGATAGCCGCTATCCATTTTTGAATCCATGATCTACACCGCAGCGATTTTTGTCAGTAACTCATTTGTCCGAACACACTGCGCGAGGCATGAGATAAACAGAGTGCATCGGGGTATGTCTCTGACCTCCAGGGCTCCCACGGCCTCGAATAAAGTAAAGTATTCATCTTTGACAAGTTCGCCGGTGACGAGCACTAGTAATCCCAAGCATTGTTAGCTATGCTCCCACTACAACTACGACGAGAAACAGGGCATTTTTGGGAAAAGACAAACCAGACGCCGCCTTTGTAAATTTCTCCGTGATATCGCAAGCCATCCTGATCCAGCTATATTGTCTCGTGGTGGCAGCAAATTATCTCTTTAGGTGGCGGGGCAGAGAGGCCACAAAAATCGCGGTGATCGAGGATTTAGGCCTGAGCCAGGAAGGAAATCAGGCACGTCACAGAGCGAACACCATAGCAGCATGACAAAAACACTAGAAACAGTCCGCTGCAGGTAGCATTACCACGTCAACAGTCAAGATATCACCGGAAACAGGCTAGAAGCCGGAAGGTAAAACCACAACTTCACAAGGTGGTGATACTTCTTTGAGATGAGTTTAAAATTTAAGGATCTCATGCTGAGTCAAGGCACAGCGCTTCGGCATACAGGCTCGACTGTTCTCGACAACACCTACAGGCAATTGATTCGGTAAAATAGTATAGAACAGTTTGAATTCTTCTATTGAATTGATACAAAATATATTTATTTCTCCGTCTGCAGTCTATCACCTCGTATTGTACAGACTTCCGATGGTATGTCTTCCGTCCCCTTCAACGCACATCGCACACTCGGCCCAGCTAATCCATCCTCCGTCAGGAATCGACTTGTTTATTTGGAGGCCTGGTTAGCGCTCTGGTTCAGCTGGGAGCCAAGGTCAACAGCGTCGCCTTGCTTTCCGTTCTGTATCAATTCAAAATTCGCGGGTCAGTCGGGTCCGGACAAAAACCAGCGATCCCCCATCATCATCAATCGGTAAAGAGACGAAGCCACCGTGTACTGACCTTCCATGGGGCGACCTTGAGCTCAGATGGAGTCTGAGCCTCGACCTTGACACGGAGCTCTGGCTTGAGAGAACGACGGACTGCCTGAGCAGCGACCGACAGGTAACGGTTGTAGCTGAATGAGGCCACCGAGGTCAGCAATTGAAGCGGAACAAGCGGGAAACGGAATGCGGAACAGGTACATACGTCAAACCGGCGGCTTTCCACGCGAAGGTCATGGTGATAGGTGTGCTTCTGGACGTTCTTCTCTTCGGCTCCTTGAAAGTGGTTGTTGCGTTCGACGTTTCGCTCTCGATGAAGCGCCCAAGTTTGTCCGATGGGGATGGGTCACGTGATGCACAACCGGCCCCGGCATCAAACAAGATGCAAAAAACACCAAATTTGGGCTTGACTTGACGGCGTTGTTGATTTCAACAACAACATGCGAGTCGATCGGGGCATGGCTAATCTGAGGATTCTAGGTTGACACGAGCCTCTTCCTTGATGTACGTGAGGCAACTAAATAGGAAGAATGAATGCGGCATCACCGAGATGCAGCCACATTTCTGCAAATTGAGGCATAGCGATGATACGCCAGCCTCGAAGCAGTACGGAACAGCAGTTCCACCACTGCCTGGATGGATACAGCTACTGGGAAAGAAAGAAAAGCAGAAGCTGGTTTGATTTAAAAGTCGGTAGCATCATAGCCCGGTTCGCAAACTAGACAAGCCATGGAAATGGGAGGGAATCGTCCAACTCGTATCCCTATTTGTACTGGCTGGAAAATCTGCATACCCATGTGTAGTCGAGTGCATAGGAACCAGTTAGATTGCCCAGCTCGATTTTTTATCCTTATCTGCTTAGGATACTAATAGTTGTCTATCCCTGCATTGTTCCTATGCCCAGAATATGATCTAGACAAAAGACTGCTAGTGAGTCAATGAACAAGTTCAATTATTTTATTACTGGGTGAAAACATTCAAATAGGATGTGGATACATAAATATTCATATTCTGGTGAGCCTTTGTTATCTAGTAGACCCTACTATAATCGATTATTAGGGACAGGGTATAGGTAAGGTATTATAGCAGAGAGAACTTACAGCGCTCACATATGTAGTAATAAGGAGATAGGGCCTAGAAGTGAGATCCTGTTTATCCTTAGCCGCCTTATCAGACATCAGACAAGCAGTCACTTTAGACTCTATGTTCCGGAATGCCTCCTCGCGCAACGCTTGAACCTTCTTTGATATAAGTCTAAAAAAGGCGGAGCCAGATAGACAACCTTCTTTAGTTTAAGCCTAACCGGATGGCTGGATCTTTCTTAATGAGAATGCATCTCTGCTCTGTAGACTGTGAAGCATGTACCTTGGAAGTATTGAGGGAGAGCCTTTCCCTCGAGCCATCAAGTACGACAGTTAAACCACGCTCTGGCGGAGGCCTAACCATCCAACTAGGCGTCTGCATGCAAAAGGGCCCAGCAGAGTGGTATGAAATGCAGGAGTCAGCCGTCCCGCGCCTAGTCCACGGCCCTGGGGTAATATTTCTTTTTTCGTTGCTCCTCGATAGGTCGATCCTCGTTCTATATGAGCGGTGAGGAACCGTCAGCCGCATATACTTTCACTAAGAGTGGTCACATATTATAAGCAGAACTGCTGGAAGATGTATTCAAGGGGAGGGGGGTACTCAGGTCTTCCACTTAACTCGTAGAGTAAACCAGCTCGTTGTACTCCCTCTAATAAAAGTAGTGAGAGAGTAGAATGATACCTGCAGAGTAGGATCCCTTGAGTAATCGCCTGTGATATCATTGAGGGCTGCATTTGTCTGTTGAGGAGAAGTCAAGATGGTTTCGTGCGTTATCCAGTGGACTGGGAGCGTCGTGCATGGAGACGACGACTTTTTGCTGCAGTCGACGCCTCGAAAAAAATAACAAGGGCTGCGAACCTGACGCCACTCCTCGCATTGACTAGCAACATAAGGACATCAATACCTGTTCAAAGACCAGCTAGACCCCGGCTACCAGACTCTCGGGCGTGGCTATCAATCTGCTGAGCGCAAGCCAGGGGGGCTGGATGGGTCTTGAGACCCCCCCTCGCTTGATTGATATCAGATCCCCCGTGTTCCTGTCTATTGTTTCCTCGACATCAGTCCTGTCAAATTATCACGCAACCGCCAACCAAGCACCAGGTACCGAGGACACCCCCCTTTCCTGCTAACCTCACTCTTTTCTTCCACGTCCGCCCCCCTCCTTTTCTTTTTCCTTTCCTCCCTCTCCTTCTTCTTCTTCTCCTTCTTCTCCTTTCCTCTCTACCTCACCTATCACCAACAACTCTACCACCTCTCTACCAAGCAGAGAGGTCATCAACTGCTGCGTGGCATCTTGCTATCAGAGGCTCTCGTTGCCTAACTCCCGCTTAAAACTATTGAATAGCCTGGGAGCCATTCTTTGAAAGACACGGTAAGCAGTTAATGCACCTCCATAAAGAAGGCCTCACTTCTAGTTCATTTTCCACCTGATATTTCAGCAAACTCGAAATCGTTTCGTCCCGGGCCTCTGCTCCAGTGAGTCGATTGCTAACCACGATTACTACATCCTAGGAGATAGTTCAAGAAATCATGGCAACCAAGAAAGGAGACGTAGTGGCTGCTTCCCCCAAAGAGGCCAAGAAGCCCAAGAAGCCCTTGAACCGACCTCCCTCTCGATCCATCGTTCGTTGGTGTGGTATGTATAGAGATATTTCCCCAGACAATGGGCCAGGATGTGAGATAAAAAAGTAGACTCATGCTAACATTCACCAGATGAACTGGACCGAAAGTTACTTCTTGCAATCCAGTCCGCTTGCAACAAGTGTGGCGTCCGTATTCCTTGGGTCGAGGTTGCACTCATGATGGGAAGCAGCATCACCGACGGTGCGATTATCCAGCACCTGGCGAAGTTGCGTGTCCGTATGGTTGAACTAGGACAGGATGTTCCGCCACCACTTCGTCGTTCGGCTGGCTCGGCCCCAAAGTCTGCTGAGGCTGAAGAGGGAGACACCCCAGCGCCTAAACCGGCTGCGACTCGAAAAGCCAACTCTCGCAAAAAGGGACCAAAGCGGTCCATTTATGATACCGATGACGAAACCTATGAGGAGGGCAAGAAGCCCAACAACAAAAAGTCCAAGGCAAAAAAGGGTAAGGGGTCCTCAAAGGAGAATTATGACGAGGCCGAGTCTGTTCCTATTAAAATTGAGGAAGAAGCCAAGGATAGCGGCACCATCTCAGAGCTCCAGCAGATCGAATCCCACAACGACAACGCTGATCAAGATTTCGTTGGTGGCGGCGAGGAATTTGTCAACTTCGAGTACCAGCATTCCCATGGTCTTCTCACTCCTCCTAATGACGAACCATCTAGCCATGGCGAAACTGTCATCACCCAAGAGGTGATCCATGACGAGAATGTGACCAGTCCAGGTCAAGCCTCAAATGGTGGCATCGAAACTTCGCAGTTCCTCCTTGGCAACGAAGCTCATCCAACTCAGGGAAATGAGGCTCAAACCATGTCATTTGCAAACGTTACTACAGTTGGTAACCAGCAGGGGTTCCCCATGGGTATCAGTCAGGCCGTTCCACATGCGTACGTTCCTCGCCATGAACTGCAGGCCCTTCCAACTCACCGCAACTGGCCAGTAACTCATGTCGGAGGTAACCATTTCGGAGGTCCTCAGCAGTTTACCATGAATGAGTTTGACTTTATTCATGGTGCTACGAATCCGAACGGGGCTTTCACTCACGGTTTCCACTTTCCTTCCACCCAAGGTCATTTGCAGCACGGCGCTCGCCTTCCTTTTGCCCCGAGGCACTCTGCCCCGTTGAACCCCGCCCCAATCAGCTTCACCAGCTCCAACACCTCTTTGGCTAGTTCCATGACGGAAGATGATGGTTTGATGCAAGCCGGGGTATTGGACCACGACATTGACTGGGCGTTGCGTTCTGCCCGAGAGGCAGAAATTGAAAACGACTTCAACGAGTTCATCCAGCAGCTTTGAATTGCTTTGAGATTCATTCAAACATTGGTTACTCGGGTATCTAGCTGCCATCTTGACCTCAGGTGCACACTCATATCCTGAAAAGTTCACATAGAGCTCAGTTACCGCATCACATTGACAGTTCCCACATATGTGGAGACCAGCGGCTTAACCCTAAGCTGCTGGTTAGTTAGTTCAGATAAAATCTTGTCTCTCCTTTATTTTCGTCTATTCTGTTTTCCATTTCATTGTCATTTGCTTCTCTCACCTGCTTCATACAGGCCAGGTTGGGTCAGCTTCTAGTTTCACATATCTGGACGCTAGGTTGGGCGTTGGCTGGTCAAGGAAGGTACAGATTTTTGCCATTAGGTCTTGTGGCACACTGCAGCAATGTACATATCTTCCTAGCAATGATTGATGATACTCAAATATGGTGTCCCTAAGAGAGTCGTTTCCGGCCGGCCGCCACTTCAGTAGAATAACACCTGTATAAAAAGTGACGACTCATAACTCTAATGGGGGGTATTTTCTGTCCACTCTCGCTTTCGAGGCAAGCAATAACTGTCTATAGCACCGCCATGCGCCCGCCATAGCCTGGTCAAGATGGGCTTGCTCACTCGTGTGCGTCTTCGCCGTCTTGCTCGTATTTTCTATCGGACGTCGTTGGATGACCCAAAAGGGGAAACAAGCTAGGCCCAGTACCTTTCACGTGACTTACTAGCAAAAAAGAAAGGCCGCCAAGACTTTCTCCAGAAGTTGCTCGAAACATCAATTTTTTTTTCTTCAACTTCTTCGTAACGCCTTTTTTCCTCTCCTTCACTCTTCAACGTCTGACACGGCTTCAATCTCTCTTGTCTTCTCTACCCTTCTTTAATTAGGAGTTCTTTTTGGTTCTCAGTGGGCTGATTTTGCATCTCTTTTGCTCCCTTCTTTATAATAATATCATTCAACCATGCAGCGAGCTCTCTCTGCTTCCTCCAGGGCTTCGGTCCTTGCATCTGCTGCTTCTACCAGAACCCAGCTCTCCCAGTTCCGACCAGCTCTTGCTGCCGGTGTAAGCCTTCAGCAGCAGCGATATGCCCATAAGGTATGAGATTCATCTTCTGCCCAAAAACAGCCTCAATTGGAGCTCTTTTTTCGCTGTGCCTGGACATGGGCTAACAGAAGCTCTTCGTCTGATATAGGAAATCAAATTTGGTGTTGAAGGCCGCGCCTCTCTCCTCAAGGGTGTTGACACCCTCGCTAGAGCCGTCACCGCTACATTGGGCCCCAAGGGACGAAATGTTCTAATAGAGTCCCCCTACGGTTCCCCAAAGATCACAAAGGGTATGTTTACAGCCCTTGAAACCATTTGTCTAGCTTTGGTTCGGTGTTTGCTAACTCGAATGGACTTGTAGATGGTGTCACCGTTGCTAAGGCCGTTGCTCTGGAAGATAAGTTTGAGAACTTGGGAGCTCGCCTTCTCCAGGATGTCGCTTCCAAGACCAACGAGGTCGCTGGTGACGGAACTACCACTGCCACCGTCCTTGCCCGTGCCATCTTCTCTGAGACCGTCAAGAACGTTGCTGCTGGTTGCAACCCAATGGATCTCCGAAGGGGTATCCAGGCCGCTGTCCAGTCTGTTGTCGAGTACCTACAAGCCAACAAGAGAGACATCACCACTACCGAGGAGATTGCCCAGGTTGCTACTATCTCCGCCAACGGAGATACCCACGTTGGCAAGCTTATCTCCAATGCTATGGAGAAGGTTGGAAAGGAAGGTGTCATCACCGTGAAGGATGGAAAGACCATCGACGATGAGCTCGAGGTTACCGAGGGTATGCGTTTTGACCGTGGTTACACCTCCCCATACTTCATCACCGACCCCAAGACCCAGAAGGTCGAGTTCGAGAAGCCTCTTATCCTTCTTTCTGAGAAGAAGATCTCTGCCGTCCAAGACATCCTCCCAGCCCTCGAGGCTTCTACTACTCTTCGCCGGCCATTGGTTATCATTGCTGAAGATATCGATGGTGAGGCTCTTGCCGTCTGTATTCTTAACAAGCTCCGTGGCCAGCTCCAGGTCGCTGCTGTCAAGGCTCCTGGGTTCGGTGACAACCGCAAGAGCATCCTCGGCGATATCGGAATTCTCACCAACGCCACTGTCTTCACCGATGAGCTCGACATGAAGCTCGACAAGGCTACTCCCGACATGCTCGGATCCACCGGCTCCATCACTATTACCAAGGAGGACACCATCATCCTCAATGGCGAGGGCAGCAAGGATGCTATTGCTCAGCGCTGTGAACAGATCCGTGGTGTCATTGCTGACCCTGCCACCTCTGACTACGAGAAGGAGAAGCTTCAGGAGCGTTTGGCCAAGCTCTCTGGTGGTGTTGCCGTCATCAAGGTTGGTGGTGCCTCTGAAGTTGAGGTCGGTGAGAAGAAGGACCGTGTCGTTGATGCTCTCAACGCTACCCGTGCCGCTGTGGAGGAGGGTATCCTCCCCGGTGGTGGTACCGCCCTCCTTAAGGCCTCTGCCAACGGCCTTGCCGATGTCAAGCCATCCAACTTTGACCAGCAGCTTGGTGTCAGCATTGTGAAGAGCGCCATCACCCGCCCAGCCCGCACTATCGTCGAGAACGCTGGTCTTGAGGGAAGCGTCGTTGTCGGTAAGCTCACCGACGAGTTTGCCAGTGACTTCAACCGTGGTTTCGACAGCTCCAAGGGCGAGTACGTTGACATGATTGCCTCTGGTATCGTCGATCCCCTCAAGGTCGTCCGAACCGCCCTTGTTGATGCCAGTGGTGTTGCCTCGCTCCTTGGAACCACCGAGGTCGCCATTGTCGATGCCCCTGAGCCCAAGTCTGCTCCTGCTCCAGGTGGCATGCCTGGAATGGGTGGCATGGGTGGCATGGGCGGTATGTACTAAAAAGAATAACGTGTTTAATGCGTCCCTGCTTCCATGTTTTTCCCTCTTCACTTTCTCCCTCCATGTCTTAAAATGTTTTATTTGGCGTGCTGCATTTCCCTTTTTTTTTTCCTTACTGGTTGTTTCTTTTGTAAACCTATGTACCTTTCCTGACTACTCCGTCTCACTCATCCCTCTCGAATCTGTTGTGATACTCCCCCAGCTCCAGAGATCTGTACAATAACCACATCCTTACAACCTCGACCTGACTGATGAGCACCTCTCCACTCTTGTCCTCTTTGCCATTTCAACTTTGTGCGTTTGTTGTTCCCTGAAGGTAGACAAAAGGCTGCAGTTGAAGAGAGGAAGGGCGGAAACAGGCATTATGGACCATGGACTTGTGGGGTTCCTGCCAACGTCTTCATGGCCATGTATGTACTTATATAATATGAATCCAAATTCACTCTATAAAAAAGAAAGAAAAACTATTCAAGTAAAGTTGTGTATGCCAGTATCTCACCTTAGGTATTTATCTTCAATATCAATCTTAACCTACGCCTATACGTCTAGAAAGTCGAACCAGGCTATACGATTAGAACAGCATCACGGAGCCATTTGCTTTGAATCTACGCTTGGACATCTCTTCCAACGACACTAAAGCTATTGACATTGATCACGGTGTTGGAGCCATTCCACAGTACTAGTTTATTCATATGGTAGCGTAATAAAACAACTATTACTCTTTGATGTCCAGTGGTAGGCTCGTCTTTTTTTTGGCTCAGCTGTTTGATAGTTAGTGCTTTGACTGGACCCAAATTGGGGAATTCTGAGTATCAAATATTGACCAAACTCGAGCACGGCAGTCCAATTCTGTCTCGCAAGCTCTCGCTAACACTTCAGTTGGCACTTGCAAAGTGAAATATATGTTGCGGCCAAATTTCTGACTCCAGACATTGTCTCATGAAATGAGCTTGATATTCAACCTCCAGCACATGGCTAAAAGCAGTCCTCACTTTGAGGAAGTGGAGGCCGCACCCCCGATCAATGTCTGCAACAATCGACTGATCTGGGCGACATGGGCGCATAAAGTAGTCCGCCCGCATCTAGACAACAAGGCAGACCGAGTCCGTATCAAGGTTGACCAAGAAAGGTGCAAGGCAGATTGTTGATTCTCGATGTCGAAGTTCCATGCGCGGCGAGCTGCACAGCACACAAAACGCCGTGACAGGCTCCAACATAACCATTATTCCTGCATCTCACGAGCAGCCAGAGCCCTATCCGACGCTTACGTGTATCCAGGTGGCTGTGAAATCGACAGGCTGGCCCATCGCTGCCAGGCTGACTTGTTCTTCTCTGTTTTTGCATGAGCGTATCGCGGCAGTTGTGCCCTCGTCGTTGGTTAAATAGCAGTAGTGGTAGTTAATAGTAATAGCAGGAGTAGTTAATAATACTACTAGCAGCTGTCCCCCCACCAACAAGCAGAATAAGAAACACCTCAGCCCCGCCATTACTATTCTGCTGCCTCCATCACAAAAACACGCCAGCTTGCCAACCACCGATATCCCCCTGTCGCTGCGAATTAACGTGCTATCCACCTCCGCCGCTCTCTTCCCTAGACGGCCGTCCTCTCTCGAACTGTAGGTTGGCGTTATTTTGACCCCTCGCCACCAGATTCGCCTAGTTAGCAGCTAGTTTCTTCCTCGTCTCCCGCACCCCTTTCTTACCGCTCCGAAGACAAGTCACTATTGTGTGCGTTCAATCAGACTGACATACGGATCTTTACCTATCCATAGACATAAAAACAACCATTTCAAGGAGTTCCAGGTTCTGCAATATAAACGCGCAATCATGTCGGTACGTTGGCTCTCCCGCATCAAGCGTCAGATAAGTGTTATCGTTGCTAACGCTGCGCCCACTCCATACAGATGGCATCAGGGTACGTTTCCCCCGCCCTCCCTTCTGAACCGCCTTGCACACATAGCACAATACGCAAGAAGAAAGGATCCCGGGGATTCAACATCGGAGAAGGCGCTGGAATTGATGGATCAGATCTATGCGGAAGAACCGGGGCACGCCTGCTAACCACAGACATACAACAGAGTTACCATAAACCCCGAATGTATCGAAGCATTCGAAAAGCTACGGCTTGGAAAGGGTGCCGGCAGAACAAAGTACATCATCTTCAAGATCTCGGACAACAAGAAGGAGGTTGTGGTCGACGAAGTCTCCACCAACGATGACTACGAGGTTTTCCGTGAAAAACTAGCCAACTGCAAGGACTCAATGGGACGTCCTGCCCCAAGATATGCCGCATACGATGTTGAGTTCCAGCTCGAGGCTGGCGAGGGATGGCGGTATGTCCTATCTCTTTTGTGTTGAGGTTTTGAAGTGACAACTTCATTGGGCACAATCCCGACTGACGTGCTTAAACAGACAGAAGATTGTCTTCATCTCCTGGGTTCCGGCTGAGACTCCTGTCCTGGTAAGAGCTTCCACTTACCCCTCCGAACATATTAAACCAAGAAGAGGTCAGAACTAACGATAACATCTTGTAGTGGTCCATGATCTATGCCACCACCCGACAGACACTCAAGGAGACCCTCCACCCACACGTCAGTATCCAGGCTGACGACCCTTCCGAAATCGAATGGGCCCATGTTTTGGCCGAGGCTGGCGGCAAGAACGCTACTTCCAAGTAGAATAGCATGCAAAGAAAAAAGACACAGAAAACCCCGTGTGAAAAAAATAAATAAATCAACGCAAGGGGCATCTGACGCCGTCACACAAATAGCATTTTGCCAGTGTTTTGATATCTTGTGTGATGATACAGCGTGCTGGTGGCTGATATGTTTCTAAGCCCTCTTCGTCCTTCACTTCTGACCATATCAATCAATAATGCAAATATGAACACCAAGCAAACAGGTACGAATTCGTTTCCTTATACCTATACGAACCCAGGTCTTGCGTGTGTGTAGATATTCGGTTGTTTATAGAGATTCTCGACCTCGATCTCCAGTCCAAGTAGGAGGCTTTTGCTTTCCCATTTCTCCAGTGGTCCCGTAGGCACATCGTAGATGCTTGTATTTTGGTATCGTGGAGGGGCCGTCATCTTCCTGTCCGGGGTGAGCTGTGAGGTGCTGAAGGGCGCATACCGCCGTACGACATAACCTACACTATCTCCGAGTCAACGGATGCTGCTTCGACAAACCACAATGGCCGTAAGCTGTAGGCATCTGATTTTGATACCCCTTCGCTGCGCCGAAAAGCATCGTCTGATCCTCGCCGTTTGGGCGCAGAGCCCGGGACCAATCAGAACATAGCAATTTCCACGCTGAGTCAGCACCACGGAAACTTTCGCAGCCATAATCATCAAACCTCACAACATCCCAACTTCGACTTCGCTCCTGCAAAAGCGTTGATTTCAGGTCTTTCACTCTCTCCTTCGGCCCCAGGAATCAGACTCCATCTACGTCTCTTCTCTCCTCTCCCGTCCCGTCTTCTTCCAATTACCTCGCCATGTCCTTCCGAGCCACTCCACGGGCCGTCGCAGGCACCGTCCGCTCCGCTACATGCTCGAATTTTGCTGCACGAAGCAATCAGGCCTCACCAATTGCTTGCCTCAATGCCCGTGTGCCCGTCAGCAGCCAGCTTGCATCTCCTTCCAAGCAGCAGATCCGCTCTGCCTCCTCGGAACATGCCATTGCCAACCCTCACCTCGCTGGAATCGAGAAGCGCTGGGAAGCCATGCCTCCTCAAGAACAGGCTGAATTGTGGATGAAGTTGAGAGACCGAATGAAGGTTGACTGGAAGGAGATGACCCTACAAGAGAAGCGAGCTGGTAGGTGATATTTCCATTGCCATTGAAGGCTAATGAATCATCCTGGCGTCGGTGTTTTGTGGGATGGATATCGATACCTGAAACTGGCATCATCTTTATCACTCCTACCCCCCTTATCAGATGGTTTATTTATACCATTGAAATGCGCCAAAGGAATAAATTACTGTATTTCATTGTTAATGATCGTATACTGACTTGTTGCTTCCTGTTCGAACAGCTTACTGGATCGCCTTCGGTCCCCATGGCCCCCGTGCTGAGACCCCCAAGGGCGAGGGTGTGAAGATCTTTGTCCAGCTAATGAAGTACGTCGTTATCTCTGCTGGTATTTTCTACGCCACCCGTCTCTTCGCCGGCAGCCCTCCAAAGACCATGACCAAGGAATGGCAAGAAGCCACCAACGAATATGCCCTGGTACGTCAATATATTTATCTATATCTATATATATATATATATCCTATCAATGGCCTGTGAACACACACTAACATATTATACACCACAACAGAAAGAGAAGCTCGACCCCATCACTGGTATCAGCAGCGAAGGATACTCTGGAAAGGGTTTCGTACAGAGTGCACCAGCTGGCAAATAGATTCGATAACATAATATGAAGTTCCGCAAGGGGAAAAGAAAAGAGAGTGCCTTCTACAAGGTAAAGATGAAGACTTCTCTTCCATTTTTTTCGTCAGTGTGCCCCGAGTTTTTTTATATCCTCGGACCTCGCCTTCCAGATCTACTCAACTTGTGCAATATCAGAGAAAAACAATTAAAACTGTATTAATGGAATCGAACAACTGTATAGTCTCTTTTTTTTTCCCCTCTTTTCCCTTCATATCTTTTCCCCCTTTCCCTCCTTTCTTGTTCTCGGTCTGTCGGAAGGGAGAAGTGCATTGTCCGGTCTCCTAGCATATATCGATGCTGCACACTGTCAGAAGATGGAGGGCCTGGACTCTCTCCGCCCTTCTTCTCCTGGTGATATTTACCCTTCCATCAAGCCGTGCATCCTCTCTGTTTCCTTTGTTACCCCATCGTCTGTCTGTACTTCATGTGTTTATATATAAAGCAAGTGTTATCCTTTCATTATCTCAACCGTCTTGTGGCTCTCACCCTTGAGTCCGATTCCATCGCTGTATCATTACCATTTCAACGAATATTAACATCGGGTTCTAGACACCGATACGTACCTGTTCTACTTTGACTAGAAACCTCGCGTAGAATTTGCATGTACTCGCGGGGGGATGGCAAAGGGGCGATATAAATAGTAATCGTACGATTCTCCTGAAACTAACCTAAGTAGCCAGTCAGTTATCTGGTGTCAACGACATCCGCCCTTCGCCTAGATCCTCTACTAATAGGTAACTAGCCGACTATCCCAGAAACAAAGCTCCGTGGACGCTGGACAGCTTTTTACAAGCGATCCTGCGCTGTATGGTTAGATATTCCTTTAGTTCTATTTATTAACTGTAGGAGCTGGCCCGGACCTGCATAACAACAACGCCAGCTAAAAAGAAACCGCTCATGGATAGATAATTCCACCGGGCATCCAATCATCAATTCCAGCTTAGCCTATGATAAATGCTGGTGGTATGCAGAGAGTTCAGGGTGGTTGGAGCTAAACTAGCTATATAGCGCTCGCTGCCCACGCCGCTTTGCATATGGACTGGGCTATCAGACAGCAAAACAAGATTTCCTGCTTAGCAATGACGTTCTGGGGATCAGGGCAGGGCAAGGGGGGCCAAGGGGGGAAGAGGGTGTAACCAGCGTGCCGCCTCCCCGGCAGACTGCTCTCTCGCTCTTTCTGACGCCAACTACTCAGCTACTGTAGCTATCTCCATGCAGAGGGACGAGAGAAAAGCAAAGACAGTAGTAAACTAGTCCATGGACCGCAGTTCGCCTTAACAGCAGGAAGTTGAACTCTTGCTTGCCACTCGAGAGCAAGCCGGCCAGCTGGTTAGTGAGTTGACTAGCCAGTTGCCAACTGGTTATCTCGTCTCTGGCCGTCGTACGCACCCTTGGGAGGAGCTATTTATTGTCCCTCTTTGTTGGCCCGGCTGGCTCTGCTGGTGAACTACCTTAGTTCTCTCTTCATCTCCTCTCCTCCGAGCTGTTCCTGAACGCGCTTCTCCCCAGTAACTAAACTGCATCAGCACTGACTTGCCTCGAGTTGCCTTCGTTAGGATGAAATCAGAGAGATACACACAGTATACTTCCCAGCCGCAAACCATGGCAGCAAAAGTTCCAGATGGCACAGGTCAGTTTGCGAGAACATACTTTTCGCTCTGTTTTGATCAACGCGGTACCAACTTAAATCATCTTGCTTAGGAGTCGTTGATTTGGATCCGTGGCTCGAGCCGTTCAAGGACGCTCTGAGAAGTAGATACAAGCGGGCAACCGACTGGATCCGCAAGATTGACGAGACAGAGGGCGGGCTGGACAAGTTCAGCAAGGTCTGTTTCGCGCATTTTTCTTCTTCTCTGTGTTTATTTATTTATTTATTGGAGATATTGTTTTCTTCAGTCTGTGTTGAATAGATGCTAAGTCATGCACAGGGCTACGAGAAGTTTGGTTTCAATGTTGCGAGTAACGGCGACATCACCTACAGAGAGTGGGCTCCAAACGCGACCACGGCCCATCTCATTGGTGATTTCAGTATGTTAACCGCAAACTTGTTCTTCTTAGATGCCATGTTTTATACAATTAAACTGACATGTTTGAAGATAAATGGGATCCAACTGCTACACCATTGAAGAAGAATGACTTCGGAGTGTGGGAAGGCATCCTCCCTGCAAAGAACGGAGAGCTTGCCATACCGCACAACAGCAAGGTCAAAGTAAGGATAAATGATCCCCTATGACATGCCCGGTGCTCAAGGTTAGAGAAGCCAGTCCTAATATAGAAGCATCAGATTACCATGACCACACCATCGGGGGAGCGACTTGACAGAATACCAGCTTGGACCAAAAGAGTAACTCAGGATCTCAGTGTCTCTCCAGTGTATGACAACGTATTCTGGCATCCACCCAAGGAGGAGCAGTACCAGTTCAAACACGCTGCCCCTCCAAAGCCAAAGTCGCTTCGTATCTACGAGGCACATGTGGGAATATCATCGCCCAAGACAGAGGTTGCAACATATAAGAATTTCACTGAGGTCATGCTTCCTCGTATCAAATACCTAGGATACAATGCTATCCAGCTTATGGCCATCATGGAGCATGCATACTATGCAAGCTTCGGATACCAGGTCAACAACTTCTTTGCAGCAAGTAGTCGCTATGGCATTCCAGAAGACCTGAAGGAGTTGATAGACACAGCTCACAGCATGGGTATCGTGGTTCTCCTTGACGTGGTGCACAGCCATGCATCCAAGAACGTGCTGGATGGGCTTAACATGTTTGATGGAACGGACCATCTCTATTTCCATTCAGGTGGGAAGGGTAACCATGACCTATGGGATAGTCGTCTCTTCAACTATGGAAACCATGAGGTGCTCAGATTCCTTCTCAGTAACCTGAGATTCTGGATGGAAGAATATCGTTTTGACGGCTTCCGTTTCGATGGGGTCACAAGCATGCTGTACATTCATCATGGAATCGGAACGTAAGTTTCTTTACCTTTTTTTTTTTTTTTTTTTTTTTTTTTTTTTCCCCTTATGGAGTGCATGGTATATGCTGATATGGATAGTGGATTTTCCGGTGGATATCATGAGTACTTTGGTTCGTCTGTTGACGATGAAGGTGTTGCATATCTGGCTCTGGCAAACGAAATGCTGCATAAACTATACCCCAACTGCATCACAGTTGCAGAAGATGTTTCTGGAATGCCTGCATTGTGTTTACCTTTGGTCCTAGGGGGCGTAGGATTCGACTATCGTCTAGCCATGGCTGTCCCTGACATGTACATCAAGCTGCTCAAGGAGAAGAAGGATGAAGAGTGGGACATGGCAAACATAGCATTCACCCTCACCAACCGCAGACATGGCGAGAAAGCGATTGCATATGCCGAGAGCCATGATCAAGCGTATGTATCCCAAGACGTTTTGCCACCGCGCTCCTGCAGGAGAAGTGCTAATAATGATGGATAGGCTTGTCGGTGACAAGACGCTGATGATGTGGCTTTGCGACAATGAGATGTACACAAACATGTCTGTGTTGACGGAACTCACTCCCCTCATTGAGCGTGGCATGAGTCTACATAAGATGATCCGCCTGGTCACACACGGACTTGGAGGAGAAGGCTACCTCAACTTCGAGGGCAATGAGTTCGGTCACCCCGAATGGCTCGATTTCCCCCGTCAAGGCAATAATAACAGCTTCTGGTATGCCAGAAGGCAGCTGAATCTCACTGAGGATCATCTCCTCCGATACAAGTTCTTGAACGAGTTCGACAGAAAAATGCAGCTGACCGAGGAGATATACGGGTGGCTCCAGTCACCGCAGGCCTACATCAGCCTCAAGAATGAACAGGACAAGGTCTTGGTATTTGAACGCGCCGGATTGCTCTGGGTGTTCAACTTCCATCCAACCAACAGTTTTACAGCCTACCGTGTCGGAGTAGAGCAGGCAGGAACGTACCGGATTGTCATTGACACTGACGACAGCGATTTTGGAGGATTCGACCGCAACGCCAAAGGAACAAGGTTCTTCACCACAGATCTGGAGTGGAATGGGCGCAAAAACTATACAGAATTGTATCTGCCCACGAGAACGGCCCTGGTGAGTTCCAAGTTCAGCCCTTTTGATCCAGGATGAAACGGCCCCAAATATTGACTGTGATAGGTCCTCGCTCTCGAAGACACCCTGTAGCGGGTGTAGCCCAGCCAACGTATTTTCTTTCTTATTGCACCGACCTCTCGTATTATTCTATAAAAACCTCCTCAGTTTACTAGCTCATCGTCAAGAAAAGGCTTAATATCACATCGAAGTACTCCGTAGTCAAAAAAAAAACAACTGAGCATGCCTCTCACCATCCATCTCCTGGCCCTGTTTGATATCGCAGTCCTGGCCACTAACTATGCCTTGGCGCGAGGTGGAACCGGCAACAGACGGAGCGTGTAATTTTTCCACCACACAAAAAGGACAGACTTGGCTGCACGGAAGGCCTTTTACGAGGCTGTCTGCGTAATACGTAAAATTACGCGCTGGGTGCTGGGTGGCGGTACTGCGGAAAAGGCGCTGCTCTTGGGCGTATCCGGAAGTACCCTGGCGGTATCTATCCCTGTAATTACGTACTGTGACCACTAGCCGTATCTGAAAACAGCGACCACACCCGAGCAGCTTTCTCGCTCTTCTTCCCTTTTGCTTCCAACCTCACCTCTTCAACTCTCTCCATCCACCCTCCACTCTTCACGCATCTCACCATGTTCAAGAGGTAAGATACTAGCTCAATGCCCTCGATAGACCATCCTCACCGGTCAGACAGCCCTTGCTGACGCTTTTCTCCCCGCCGCAGCGGCATTTCCCGGACCCTCGGAAGGTCTGCATTTGCACGACCTTCCTCCTCTGTCCTCTCTTCCGTCCGCCCAACCTTCAAGAACAATGCTCTCCAAGCTCTCACAGCCCGATATGCCAGTACGGACGCTGCCAACATTGGCAA